TCAACACCACCAAGTGTATTACCTTATGCACAAGTGTTAGCATATTTTCACAAACATTTTCAAGGGGTTTAGCACTCCACTAGATCCTAGATGCATATGCAATGAGTTAGAGCATCTAGTGGCACTTTGATAACCGCATTTCGATACGAGTTTCACCCCTCTTAATAGTACGACTGTCAATCCTAAATGTGATCACACTCTCTACGTGTCTTGATCACCAAAACAAAATAGCTATTACAAATTATACCTTTGCCTTGAGCTTTTTGTTTTTCTCTTTCTTCTTTCCAAGTCGAAGCACTTGATCATCACCATGCCATCATCTTTATCATGCTATGATCTTTATTTGCTTCACCACTTGGAGTGTGCTACCTATCTCATGATCACTTGATAAACTAGGTTAGCACTTAGGGTTTCATCAATTTACCAAAACCAAACTAGAGCTTTCACTACTGTCTTGGCTCCTTTAGAAATTGTTTCTAAGTTCCAAACACCATTGGTTTTTATTGATTTTATTTCATCTTCCATGGCTTCAAGCCACTTGGATGAGTGAGCGCTTCTCATGGCTCCTTCAAATGAGGTGGGATCACCCTCCATTTGAAATTCCTTATATTCATAAACTTCATAGTCATCAGGAATGGCTGATCTCCTGACTCTTTGAGACCTTCTAGGAGCCTCGTTAGATGACGCTTGTTCTATATGAGGCTGTTGTTGCTCTCCCTCATGTGTAACAACAGGTTCTAGGGGATCCTGAAGGACAGGTTCCTCATGTTCATTCATTGTTGCCATAGGAGAACTAACAATAGGTGCTATTATTATAGTGCCTTGCACTATTGGTATAGCAACAACAGATAATGTGAAGAATGACTCCTGAACCATAGGAGTGGGCACGTATACCCGCTTCTCTTCAAAACTAATTTCTCGCGATACCATGCTCCCCCTGATCATATCATCCTCTAAGAAGACAACATGTCTTATTTCTACAAACTTCGTTTGTCTGTCAGGACAATAGAAGCGATAACCTTTTGACTTTTCTGGATAGCCAATGAAATAGCAATTAACTGTCTTGGAGTCTAGCTTCCCTATGTTTAGGTAAAAAACTTTTGCCTCAACTTAACAACCCCACATATGTAAATAGTTAAGTGAGGGTTCCTTTCCTGTCCACAACTCATACGGTGTTTTGGGCACCGACTTGCTTGGCACTCGATTAAGTATATGAATGACGGTTTTTAATGCCTCCATCCATAAATTTATCGGTAGGGTAGAGTAATTTATCATGCTTCTCATCATATCCATTAATTGTACGGTTGCGTCTTTCAGCTACTCCATTCTGCTGAGGCTCGCCCGGTGTAGAATATTAGGCTACTATGCCATTTTCCTGTAAAAACCTTACAAAGGGTCCAGGAACTTGGCCATATGGGGTGTGTCGACCATAGTACTCTCCCCCATGGTCGGACTTTACTACCTTAATCTTTAAGTTGTGCTGATTTTCTACTTTAGCCTTAAATATCTTAAATTTATCCAATGTTTCCGATATTTCTTTAATTGGATAAATATAGCCAAAACAAGAATAATCATCTGTGAATGTTATAAATGAATCAAAACCTTCCACACTCTTCACAGGAAAAGGACCATAGATGTCTGTGTGAACTATTTCTAAAATTCCTGCTCTTCGTTTGACATCTTTCTTTATTTTCTTAACGTACTTTCCTTTTATGTAATCAATGCATTCCTCTAAATCTAAAAATTCTAAAGGCAGAAGAATTGATTTCTTAATCAATCGCTTTATTCTCCCCCTCGAAATATGGCCTAAACGACAGTGCCATAATTTCGATGATACATCATAAACTCTCTTTGCTTATTACTTGCATTCATAGACGAAGAGGCATTCTCATTCTTAGTATTTACATCATTCACATTCTCAAAAAGTGATAATAAATAAAGCTTGTCTTGTTGGAAGGCAAGACCAACACACTTATTATTAATCATAATCCTACATTTGCCATTACCAAAATAGCAATCATATCCATCATCATCTAATCTTGAAACACTTATCAAGTTTCTATGCAAAGAGAGTACATAAACAATATCTGAAAGCTGCAGTCTAAAACCATCATCTAATTCTAGAGATAGATCTCCAATGGCTTTAACTTTAGCTTCAACTTCATTTGCAACTTTAATTCTTCTTTCTCCTCTTTGCAGGGTCCTCCTCGTACGAAATTCCTATAATAAATTTGCAACATAAACAGTTGCACCTGAATCAATCCACCAAGTAGATTTTGTATAACTTAAATACAAGGATTCATCTACGAATGTAATAAAATCCTCATCTCTCTTCAGAAGGCTCTTCAGAAAGTTTGGACAGTCCCTCTGGTAATGTCCATGCTTCTTGCACCATTTACACTGATCCTTCTCAACTTGAGCATTGTTGTTCTTCGGATGGTGGTCATTTTGAGGGTCTTTCCCTTGAGGTTTGGCATTCTTATTGAAATTCTTGTTTTTGTTGTCCTTGACAAGGTTAGCAGAGTCACCCTGTGAGCTTTTCAGCCTCTCCTCTTGAACACACATTGCGATGAGCTTCTCTATATTCCACTTATCGAGCTGCATGTTGTTGTTAACAACAAAAGTTTCATACTCTTTCGGCAGGGAAGCAAAAACCAAATGAATCAGGAACTCATCTTTGAGCCCTAAATCCATTGGCTTGAGCTTGAATGCCGTGTTGCTCATCTTTAATATGTGTTCTCTTATACCTCCACTAGAGTATTTTTCATTGAATAATTTCTTTATCAGGGTGCTTGCATAAGCCTTTGAAGAGCCAGTGAACTGACTCTCCACCTTCTTAAGATACTCTGTGGCGGTATCACAATCTGTGATAGACCATCTTATTGCATCTGAAATTATGGACTTAGCCACCATCAAGCACTTGCAGTTTGAAATGTCCCATTTCTTGCATGATCTCGCTGCCGAGCAGTGAAATCAGCATCAGTCTCATTATCTTCCCTCACCGGGTTCACTAGATCCGTCGGACACGGGAGGTAAGCGCTAGGTCATTTTCAGACAGCGCAAGTGCTAGCTCATACTTCTTTCGCCATACTCTATAGTTGCCCCCCTTCAAGAGGTGGAATATGCGAGATAAATGTCATAGGATTAAGTCCTGAAAAACACCGTTAGAGATAGTGAGAAAATATGACATCATAATTGCATGCTTTAATTTAACGTTGGTCAAAATTAAAACATACAACATTCTTATACACTAATTCTACGTCACCGTTGGGAAGAAATAGAATCAATGCATGGAAAATTTATGAATAAATATTATAATATTGTTATCATCAATGTTGGTAAAAAAATAACAATACGATAATTTAACTTAAGCAAATATGACTACTCCAATTAAAATTTTCCCGTTGGTTCAAAAATTAATCAGAGGATAAACTAATCATTGCAGCGGAAAACTCATACTTAATTGGTGAATTTTACCCACAGAAAAATTCTCTTTACTAATTTTATTTGAGCCATTAATCAAATACCAGGAAAAGAATAAATTCACTAGAATTTAGAAAATGAAAAAGGGCTCAAAGCACCACTGTTTACTCGGCCCAAGCAGTAAAACAACCTAGCCTGCCTTGCGCGCGTGCCCGTAGCTCCCTCCAGGCCGCAACCTAGGCCTAGGCCGGGAAAGCGGCCTGCCGCTTGCGCCCGCTTGGGCCAAAACTCGGCCCGACGTCTCTGCGTCGTTCATCTGAGATCAATGGCTATCCGACGTTCTCGGATGAACAAAACTGCGACGGCGCCGGCTTCCCTCGAACCCTAGCTCACTCTTTTCTCCCTCCCCTTCTCTCTCAGTGCAGCCGAGTGGCAGAGCGCAGCAGTGGCACCCGGAGCTGGCCTGTGGCGGAGGGATGGTGGCATCGTCGCCGGCCCCCTCGCTGGCATGCGCGCTCCCCTATAGGTGAGCATGCCGTTGTCGAGCAGCCTAGCGGTGGCGCCCTAGCATAGCGGTTCTTTACAGGCACGGAGGCACTTCCCGGAGTTCTCCGGTGAGTGGAGGGCGGCGAGGTAAGCTGCCTCCAAAGCCCTTCCCCTCTCCCCTTCTTTTCTCTGCTTGGATCTTCTTCTATTCTTCTCGGATCTTGTCCGATTTTGGGTTAGGGTTAGGGTTAGGTCGAGTTAGGGTTAGGGTTTGGCTACTGTTCTTCTTCCCTGAGTTGTCTACGCAGGTTAGGGTTAGGGTTTGAGTTCCTTTTCAAAACCGAGACCCTTTCTTACTCCTTTTCTTCACCCGATTTGGGTTTAGGGTTCGATGAACCCTCTGCTTAGATCCGATTCGGATCTCTCACCTCTTTCTAATTGCTGCTACTCGGTTTTCTACCCCAAAGCCTGGATCTATGCCTAGATTAGGCTCAACTGATACCATTGATAGGAACTATAGGATCAACTAGGCATAGATCTAGCGGGTACAACTTGACTAGAACATGATGAACAAACCCTAGAACATGAACTACGAGATCTAGATGGAGAAGAAGGGAGAGGAGCAGTGGTCTCTGACTATTGGAGGGTTTGGTGGAGCTACTGGAGCCGTCCATCATGTTGGCGATGTTGCCGGAGGGCGTCGGGTGATGTAGCGGTCGTAGGTGCGGTCCAGTGGCGGCGGTGAACCTCGTGATGGTGCTTACCGTCACTGGCTGCGCACCCTCTCTAGATCGGTGTTAGGGTTTTGTCGGTAGGAACTGTAGCTCGATCAACCTTTTGAAGAGAGCGGTCGGCCCCCACCTCTATTTATAGTGCAGTGTGACGGGGGCCCACCAACCATGTAGGGTTGGGCGCTCCCAATCAGGGCGCGAGGTCAAGGCCTAACTCGGCCGTTGGGCCGAGCTAGAGATATCACCGCTAACAAATAAAAGTCTATGCACCCACAAGGCATGCGCACCCCCCTTGAATTTTCTCTAGCTCCACCACTGGTGGGCATTGATGGCCCACGGGAGGAGATCATCAAACGGTTGATGGAAGAAGGTGACCGTCATTCTGGACGACTTCAAGTGTTGGCCATCGTGGGTTTTGGTGGCCTCGGCAAGACAACACTTGCAAACCAAGTTCACTCCAAAATCAAGAATGAGTTTGAATGCAGAGGGTTCGTTACAGTCTCTAGAACTCCTCACATGCCAAAGATTCTGAAGGACATACTCTTCGAAGTTGGATATCGTGATATGGAAATGGGAGATGATGTCCAAAAGCTTATCGAGATCCTTAGAGAAAGTCTCACGACTAAGAGGTATGTTTTTATCTGGAATTTATGGTAAACTTATCAATATGCATGTGTTATTTCTGAAGCTTATCAATAGCTATCATGTTTATTCACTGAGGAAAGTAAGTTTAATTCATTTAAAAAGTGCCAAGCATGAGTGTTGCCAAAAAATTGAAATCATTATTTAATAACATCATAAAAATTAAATACTTGGAGTTCATATTTCATCTTTTTTCAAAGAGATATTTATTTTTGTATTTAACTGATTTTTATGGAACTTTACTTTTCTGGCTTTTCTAGGAATAGTCTTTCTATATAATTTCCCTCTCAGTATTAATGTCGTGCTACATTGATAGGTGGATCAGCAGGTTGGCTATATATATGTGTGTATACTTCAGTGTAGTAACCTTACATTTTGTACATTCAAAGTTTAGGATAAATTTTTAGTTTTCACATAAATTTACTACTAAAGAAAATATATCTAGGTTTTGTTTGTTTTTTGAAGAAATTTAAGGGCCTTGCACATGGTGGACTACTGTTGTCTAATTTGGATGCCTCGTCTTGTATATTCCGATTATGCATATTTTAGATTTATGTATATGTTTGCAATTAAAGTTGTGTAGCTGCCCCTACAAATGCCTTATTTATAGATATAGAGAACCTTGCGTAGATATGGTTGTGCATTCCTATTTTTTGACTGCCTCTAGAAATTCTTTTTTTTTGGTAGTGAATCTATATATGTTCCTCGAGGACCATATAAATTGGAAACAAAGAATCAGTAGCCAACAATTTTCATCTAAGAACTATTGGCCACTTACTAAAGACTTCCAGAAGATGTCTTAGTTATACTAAGAAAATTTAAAAAGGACCAACGATCACTGGCTATTTAGAAAAAAAATACTCAAGAAATATTTTAATCGTGTATTGCCACACACATAGCTCCTAAAAGCTATTTGGGCATGAGACCTGCTATTTCAATTTGTTCTCCCTCAAAATGACTTTTTGCTCAGCTACTAGCAAATATCAAAATGGTAGTTGAATCAATGAAAAGGCATACATTTCCTTCTTATTTAAGTGAGATATTATTACTCATATTTATTTTGTCATATTGTGATGCAAACAGGCTATGTTGGACTGAAATGCTATGTTATTATTGTTGTTGTATTATGATGCAAACAGGATTGACACAGAAGTTGCTTTGCAGGTACTTTGTCATAATTGATGACTTATGGAGCATCAAGGATTGGCGCACTATTGAGTGCGCTTTTGTGGAAAATAACAATGCCAGCAGAGTGATAACTACCACACGTATTCAAGACGTTGGTACAGCCTTTTGCTTCCCAAGTCAAGGCCATGTATACCAGATGCAACCCCTTAATGAGCTTCACTCAAGAAGGTTGTTTTTCAAAAGGTTATTTGACACAGAATATAGTTGTCCCAAGCAATTCACGAAGATTTCAGATGACATGTTAAAGAAATGTAAGGGGGTACCATTGGCAATTACTAGCATTGCCAGCCTTTTGGCTAACCACATGCATGTCGAGATATGGGAGAAGATACATAATTCAATGGGTTCCCAATTGGACACGAATCCTACACTGGAATGGATGAGGCATGTGTTAAGTCTTAGCTACAATGACCTGTCCCATGAGCTCAAGACATGCTTGCTATATCTTGGCCAATATCCTGAAGATTATAAAATCCCCAAAGAAGGTTTGGTGTGGAAAATGGATAGCTGAAGGATTTGTTAGGGAAAAGCATGGTTTAGATCTAGAGGAAGCTACTGAGAACTGTTTCAATGAACTCATCAACAGAAGTATGATCCAGCCTTGTTTTGATGAAGATGATTTTGATGAGGTGTGGGCTTGTCAAGTTCACGACCTATTGCTTGAGCTTATCTATCTATAAAAGACTATAAATTTGAGGGGTGTCCCATCGCAAACACTGTTCATCCAGCGCGCCCTGATCCAGATCACTGCACATGAACAGTACGGAGCACGACGAACAGTACCATCCTTTTCTTTCCCTGTCAAAAAAAACACGATGAACAGTACTCGCCCGCTAAGGAACAGTACATCCTTTCCTTTTTTTTTTTTTTTTTTTTTTTTAGTCCTCGCGTCCACTGTTGCCCGCGCTTCGCGCGGGTTCCCTGCTAGTTGTATCTAAGTGCAAAGAGGAAAACTTCATCACTATAATTGATAGGAAGTTTTCCATGAATGGAGCATCACTAGTTCGCCACATCAGCCATCAGTTTCATAGATATGGCCCTGACAGTCGAGAGTATGAGTGCATGCATCACAAGTTCGATCATATAATTTCTTCCCTGCGGTTGACTGTATGCCTCCACTTTCGAAATTTGAGCTTTTGAGAGTTTTGGACTTGCAACATAGCTATTCTACGAAGCCTATGTTCCTTGATTTGACTGCTATAAATCACCTTTTTCTGCTGAGGTATCTAAGGGTCCGGGGCTTTCATGCTGAGCTGCCAAAGAAATTTGGCAAAGCATTTGATGACCCTAGATACGTCCCAGCCATGGTTCGATGTTCCTAGTGAACAACTATTGGCTTTTAGTTCTTTGTCATCTCAAAGGCATCTCAGTTTACCAGAAAATGTAGCGTTCAAAAATGGGCTTAGCAAGTTGTGCAACCTGCGTAATATGTTCTGTTTCGATGTTGGGACTAATTCCATAGAGTGCATCAGAGATCTTGGCGTGTTGACCAATCTTGAGAAGCTCTCGGTGATATACGATTACTCTAGGCCAGGTGCCGTAGAAAATAATCTAGAGACAATCCTGGGCCTGCTTCCTCGTTTTGACAAGCTTGGGAACAGCAACCTTCACTCTCTGAATTTTGTGGTTCCATCAGGTGCCAGGGCTCCCTCAGCTCAATTTTGGAGTAATTGCTTGGCACGTCCACGGCATCTGCAGAAACTTGCCTTGTGCGGCGTAATAATGCCCAAGGTCCCAAATTGGATGGCACATGGTGACAGGTTGGCCTATCTGTATCGACTAGAAGTCCAAGAGCTCCGGAGCGATGACATCCAGGTACTTGGGCAGCTGCCCTGCCTCATCTACCTCGTGTTAGATGCTGAAACAATCCCAGAGAAAAACATCATTATCCACCCAAACACATTCTCTAGCCTGAAGCGTTTCGAATTCTCTTGTGAGCTTTCATGCCTGAAGTTCGAGCCAGCCGCACTGCCACGGCTACAGAGACTGGACATACGACTTGATGCTCGTGGACAAGGTGCAATCCAACTGCAAGAGGGCAGTCCAGCTGGTGGCATGGAGAACCTTGCTAGCCTTGTAGAGATCGAGATCACCGTGGAAATACTTGCCAAATATGATCACGGATCCAAAATAGAGGCTGCTTGCAGAGATGCAATCAGTCGGCACCCGACAAGTCAAGCCATGCAGATTCATGTAAGCTGTAACGAGTTCGATGAAAATTGATTTGTGGTAGCAAGACAGAGAGGGACTGCTCAAGGGATATGTGGAGGACGATTGAATATGCTGTAGTACGAGGCAGTCAAGAAGACTGAAAATGCTGGATTACTGGTATCCTTTTGCTGTTTTGAGCTTCGTCTCTGTTAGTAATCCTTGTGCAGGGTAGTTGCAGGATAGATAGGCATGTTTCTTTTCTATGTTTAGCATGCATGCGCTGAGCACCGACTTGTGGTTCGCCGAGCGCTTAGGAGGCCGTGGTGCTAGACTAGCTTGCCCACGAGGTCGGCGGAGGTGGTTGCTGCCACCCGGGTCGGCATTTAGGCGCCCCCGTATATGATTCTTCTCAGGGGTATATGTGGTTGGAGATGTTGGAGTATTTCATTGTAACTGGTTCCTGCATGGGATTGAAACAAACTTTTGTAGTAGTAGCTAGAAATCAACCGCTGTACTTCTCTATTCTCAGTCACCACACCCCCATCCTCCACCAATTTCCTAATTCTACTTCTTCTCCTCTCCGATGCCTGTTCATGAAAAAACTCCCCCTTACAACCAATGAGCATGTGCGCATTGGTGCCAATAGATATCATTTTTCTCTTCAAGCTTCTCTAATTTGTACTTCAGTTTTTGCTCCTTTGCTACATTTTCATCATTTAGGTTCCCCACTGGCACGCCTCGAACTCTTTTTTATTTATTTTTATTAATTCTCTTCTCCAAATCCCCTAGAATATTACGGCTCCAGTCCCATAAATCCCATGCCACCCCCGCTACTGCCTCCTTGACAGTGCCATCCCTTCCATTACCACAGAGCTTCCAAGCATTCTTTATTATTGTGGCACACTGGTCCTCCTTCACCATTCTTCGGAATGGAAGGTTAGCTTCACAAGTGGCCGCACCAAAACTTCCTCCTTCCCTGTTGTTACAATCACCGGCCTATGGAAGGACGGTCAGGAGCTGCTCCTTCTTTGAGTTTCCAACATCCGCCCCTTTTAATCCAACAACCGTGACGGGTTTTAATCATCAGTTTCTGTAACCCCGTCTATGATTGTAGGAATATCAGACATGACTTTTTTAAAAGCTGTCCCCAAGTTCTGAACCAAATCATTAGTGACGGTTTTTTATTACCTGTTACTAATATACCTATTATCAGTGACGTGTTATCATAGAACCATCACTATTGTATCATCAGAGACATGTTTTAATTTATTGTCTCTAATGGTCGTGTCTCCTTTGTACCATTTTGTGGTAGTGTTAGCACAGGGCTGGAGGAATTTGAGGGAGGCGAGCGTAAGGGGGAAAGAGAAGGATGACGATTGGGAGAGAAAAAAGGGAGAAGTAGACAGGAGTCTGGCGGCCTTGAATGATGGAGTGGGTAAGATGGCTGGTTTAGGGTTTTTATTTATATACGTACTAAGTTCAATAGATGCTGGATCGTATTGATTTTTAGTGTAACGTCAGTAGCCTTGCACTATAGAAATAAAAAATGCCATTGTCGAGCTGCTGACGTCTATCCTGCCACCTTTGATGTCAGCAATGCCCGACACTGCTATTGATTTTTAGTGTCAGACCTTAAGTGGGGCCTACCCACGTGCCACTGCAGTGCCGGGCTTTAGCCCAATTATAGATGACTGACACAACTATGAAACATAGCCTCGACACTAAAAATGGTTTTGTAGTAGTGTTGAGAGCTTTTCAGGTTTGATAACAATTTTCAAAACAGAACAACTAAAACTGAACTTTGAATGAATTTTTAGCAACAGCAAACAGTCCCAAAAAATTAGTAAAAATTCAATAACTCGTACAATTGCCTATGCAATGATGGTCACACATGCACTAATTGATGTTCATGATCCTCATGGTTACATGTTAATCACGTTTTTATGTTTTGGGCCGTGACGACAGTGGTGTTCGTGACGAGCGCGGAGGCGGAATTGGAGATCGGACGCGGTGGGGAGGACCAGCACGATCGAGGGACAAAACCGGCATCAGGCAGGCTACGGCTGGTGCCCTCGCCGTGTTAACGAGAGCAGCAGCATGTATTATAGTGATGTCAGTGTCACGAAAGGAACCAAGCAGCACAGTAGAGACTAATAATTTTTCAGTGACAAACCAATAATTTGGGCATCTTTTAGTGTCACACAGGTAATTCTAGCTTTCATCTATTCCTGAACTCCTAAGGATTAATGTTGTGACCCTGCTTATATATATATATATGTACAGAACAAAACCCTAACTTATCCTAAACCGACATAATCCTGACGAACTTGCAAAGTCAAGAATAATACTGAAACTAACTGACGAGACGAAGGGTTAGATATCAGCTAGGTTGACTTATCGAGCTTGCTGAGGCCGATAAAAAAGTGCACCAATAACGACAAAGGTCATCCCGAGTAAATCAATGGCATTATAAGGGCGCTGTTCAACCATTCTGTTAGTATAATTTAGTAGTTATCTTCTGCTGATCGACGAAAATCTGCAGCCCTTGTCTTGATTAGCCAAACATGTTGGGAAGAGGTCTTACTGCCATGAATGCATCAACCATCTGCACATATAAGAAATTGTTAAAGCGATGCAATGTTTGCCTATGGATGTGTTTGCACAGCAGGAATAACAGTGAAACGTGCAAGAATCCAATTGTGCAACACCAATAGATCAACCGAAGCACACATATGTATGCTCACCTATGATAGATAAGTCTAGTGCTAAAACACTTGTATCTTACTTTTTCTATACTTTTACTTTATTTGGCTTCAAAGTCTAGTGTTAGAAATATGCTTAGCATCAACTTTAATGGTTAGAATATGCTGTAGAAAGTGGGAGTCCCCTTTGTCTATAAAGAGTAAGGGAGTGTCATTGTAAAAAACAAATCATGGCATTTCCATTCAATCAAGCGGCCAAGGGCCAAGCTGCCCTCTGGTAGTTCCAGATCTAAATCTAAGATCTAATCGGGCCAACAATCTGGTATCGGAGCCGAGAGGGTTCTTGAGTGAGTGAGCGCTATGTCCACAGCCAGCCAGATCGCGAGAGCGCGCACCGCCGCGAGTGCCAGAGCCGACGATCGCGCCACGCGCCTTGCTGCCGCAGAGGCAGCGGCTGCGGCGGCGGCCGAGACGTCTAGGTAGGCGGCGGTGGCAGCCAAGGCCGCGGTAGCCGCGGCTGCAGCATTGCGCGCCGAGATGGAGCGGGAGCCGGAGCCAGCTGGAGGATTGCGTGCCCGGTCGGGCGCCGCCGCCAGTCACCGTCACCAGAGCGGCGTCGAGGTCGACGCTGCCGCTCTCCGGTGCTGCAGACGGTCTACTGTGACTCCGGAGCGGGAACACCGTGGCCGATGCTCACCAAGTCGAACTACCACGAGTGGAGCCTGTTGATGAAGGTCAAGCTGCAGGCCCGACGGCTGTGGGAGGTGGTTCACATCGGCGGTGTCGACTACGACGACGATCGCTGGGCGCTAGAGGCGTTGTGCGCCACCGTCCCCACTGAGCTCGGCGCCTCCCTCGCCAACAAGGCTACGACAAAGCTGACGTGGGAATCGATCGCCGCAGCACACATCGGCGGAGATCGTGTGCGCCGGGCGACATTGCAACGCCTCCGAAGGGAGTGAGAAGGCCTCGCCTTTCAGCCTGGTGAGCAAGTCGAGGACTTTGCCCTTCGTCTTACCAATCTGATGGAGCAGATGGCGCGTAATGGCGACACCGACATCATGGAGGTGCGCGCAGTGGAGAAATTCCTCTACTGCATGCCAAAGAGGTACGCGCAGATCATCAATTCGATCAAGACGGTCCTCGACTTCGAGCAACTCATCATCGAGGACGTCACTGGGAGGCTCAAGGTAGTACAAGACTGCGAGCAAGCGCCGAACTCTGAGCAGGGCACCGTCGAAGGCAAGCTGCTGTACACGATGGAGCAGTGGCGCGCCTTCGACAAGAAGGAGGAAGGATCTAGTTTGTCCAGCTTCAAGGAGCATCGCCGGCGTCCACACGGCGGCAAGGAGGAGGAAAAGGGACCTCGGGGTTAGGTAGGCGCTGATGGTGGCGCCGCCGACGAGCGCAAGGCGACTCGGGATGACACCTGCAACAACTATGGCAGGACTAGCCACTAGGCCAAGGACTGCCGCCTTCCACCACGCCACACTGGGCAGGCTCACATCGCACAAGTAGAGGAGCAGGATGACACCCTGTTCCTAGCGCATGGGTGCTGCAGCAAGACATAGGGGAGGGGTGAAAGGTCTAAGCTTTCCCCTTTTCGGGTTGGCTGGCTCCACCGAGCTCCACCTCGACGAACCACGTGCCCACACCTTCCTCGACAAAGGTGCCGTCGATGACAAGATCGATGGCTGGTACCTCGACACCGGTGCAATGCACCACATGACTGGTCGCCGTGAGTTCTTCTCTGACCTAGACTCCGACATGAAGGGCTCCATCAAGTTCGGTGACTCCTACGCTGTCGAGATTAAGGGTGTCGGCTCGGTCATCTTCAAGGCCAAGATGGGGGAGCACCGTCTTCTCATCGGGGTGTACTACATCCCGGCCTTGAAGAACTCCATCATCAGCGTCGGGCAGCTGGACGAGAATGGCTCATGGGTGGAGATTGAAGACGGCGTGCTGCGCATCTGGGATAGAGGCCGCCGTCTTCTCGCCAAGGTGAACCGAGGAAGCCAAGGAAGCAACTGCCTTTATGTGCTCCATGTACAGGTGGCACACCCCCTCTGCCTTGCCACGCGCCGAGATGATGAGGCGTGGCACTGGCACGAGCGCTTCGGGCACCTTCACTTCGAAGCCCTGAAGTAGCTCGGCAAGAATGAGATGGTCCGTGGCATGTCCTACATCGACCACGTTGAGCAGCTCTACGACACCTGTGTGGTGACCAAACTGAAGCACAGGCCCTTCCCGCGTCAAGCCTCCTACTACGCCACCGAGTAGCTCGAGCTGGTGCATGGTGACCTTTGCGGTCTAGTGTCACCGGCCACTACTAGAGATCGACGCTACTTCCTACTGCTCGTCAACGACACC